TTATTTCGCACTTAGGTTACATGGTAGAGAAAAACTCGAAGAGTTTCTGAAGTTTGTAAACCAGATTGATGAAAAAATTCAATTTACGATGGAAGTAGAGGAAGCTGAGTGGTTACCGTTCCTGGACGTTGAAGTGATTCACTCTAATTGGACGCTTAAAAAGAAATTGTTCAGAAAGAAGTTCTATGCTTGGATAATACTCAATTTTCAGTCCCATCACAATTACATGCTAAAGATAGGAATAATAAAGAACACGATTATCCGAAGTCAACGCCTAACGGATGTATAATTATGGGACGAGGAGCTGGACAAATAGACGGATATAGCCCGGCAACGGCTATCAAGCAAAGTAATACAAAGAAACGGGGGTCGTGAAAAGCCGATGGCAGAATGGGGACTACGAAAGAACCGTAAGGACGAAGAAGGATTCACAAAACTGGATATGCCTACTTTCTTGCAAACGAACTCAAAATCGATGGCCATTATTAAGGAAATTGAATATTTGAGTGGCCATGAAAGGAAAAATAACTCTTTTCACAAGTCTTCCTACGCAACATTAAAGGGTAGACAAATTTGATTGTTCAGTAGTTTACTGTATATCATGCGGCGCCTGCGAACAGAAGTATATTGGTGAAAAAAGGAGAAAAATTAGCATTTGAATAAGGAAATATCAACGGCTCTGTAGGAAAATATATACCGAAAGATCGGAATTAATGGAACACATCACGCATACCGGACACGAGATCAATTGGAAGGCGACTAAAAAAGGGCCTCATACTGTGAAAGAAGGCTGGAGATTAGGGAGTCCATTGACATACTTGCGGGAACAAATCTAATGAACAGGAAATTGGATGAAGGCAGAGTTAGTGATTACTTTGCCTACTGCTTAGGCAAACTCGAGGTAAACGATAATACAACAACACCAGTTTAAAGCAGACGCCTGCATCAATGATATATCCTTAACCAGAGTATAAGGGATCGCGCCGTGAAAGGGGTGATTTCGGCAATCGAGCCAAGACGTTTTTAGTTAGTGAAATCTGGCGGTTACGGAACTAGGGAAACGGATAAGTTTAACCGTAACAGAAATACGGCGTTATTGCCAAAATGTACTAGAATTAACTTGAGATGCCGCAGGCGACCAGGGATGGGCCTCTACAGTCTGCTCATGTGAATTTGTTTTAATCAAGGAGACGATCCGTGGAGGAAATGCCCAATAACTGCAGGCATGGAAATCGGAGCCTAGCCGCTCTTCTTGACGAGGTGGCAGTGTACGCGGTTCTAAGGTCATGGGAGTAAAACGTACACTGGGACTGGAACCGAATGAAATCGATCAATCAGAAAGATAAGTAACGGATCTACGAGACCATAAGGGAGATCCGGATAGGAGGCCATAGTCGGATTAGCCGATCGAAAGATAGGGGTCAAGATGACTAGCAGGTGTGATGAGGCCACCCTAACTTTGCCAAAAAAAAGGGCACACATTTTGATGAATGGAATATAAACAAGTCAGAAGTTGCGACAGTGGGAGTAGGTTAAGATGGCATAGAGTAGATAGATGGGTTACGACAGAAATATAAGTGATGGTGTAGTCGTTTCTGCAGAACATTAGTCGAAGGATTTGTTCATTTGTCTCTTACGAGTTCGTAGCTTGGTGCGGAGAATGACAAAACTCACTGAAGATGCCTGCGAAACGTATGAAAATGTACTAAATCAATGGTCTGACGCTGGGAATCATAACTACTATAACAGATGACTTGGGACAAGATGCGTTCAACGAAGTCAACCTACTTCTTAAGTTTAGTTTAACTAATCCAGATTGGCTTGAAATGAAAACAACCTACCTTGTACGGTCTGCGCACCTATCTCCACTTCCCAAGTTTATTCTCTGGCTCGCCTAAGCTGCAGCCCAGGTCTTTTAATAAAGAGAGATGTCTGTCGACGTAAATGGCTTCATCATCACCTATTAGGGTAGCAAGGAATTATTTAATTGATCCTTTCTTATCCAGCTAATAATGAGGCTGATTTTCGCCTTTACACTATCATAGTGGTCTAGCTGCTTGGCCCCAGATTGCGATGGGCTTGTGTCGTTTCTTACGCTTCGTCTGCTGCTGGATGCGATGCCTTTTATATAGGTCGGGACTGTGGAGCCTATTCAGGTGTCTGTATCTAATTGTGCATATACTGCCTATAAACCCCTATCTTATCGGTTAGCAGAGTGCGCTTTAGCGCAGATAGTTATATATTTTTATTAAATTCATCCTCTTTGGCCTCTCTCTCTTTCTCCTTCCTGGCTCTCACCCATAGGGATTACAGTCCCATTGCATCTATCGTCAATCTTGACTTTCAGCGCCTTCGCCTATAAATCGATTTTGCATGTGTCTGTCCTTTCTGATGAATGCTACCTTTTCAATTCGCCATTGATGTCTCTCGTCAGTTCCCATTACACACAACTTTCCGTGCATAGCCCTTTTTTGTCTGCAGAGCTTGGGCTCTATCGATTGCCCATAAATATCCATTCTTTCAGCACTCAGCATTTTAGGTTAATATCTATATATGCACCCTTCTTTGTCCATCCCTGAAACACGCACAAAAAGGCGCCCTTACACAATTAAAACAAACATACTATATACTGTACCTGCCAGGCTTAATCATATTACGGGCTGCTGTTGTTGTCACCTGCCTAGAATGTTTCCCTTTGTGCTGTAGCATCCCATCGAACTTTTCCTACAAACGTACAAACTGCACAAAAGTACATTTACGAATGGCTATTCATTTCGAACCAATTTTGCAGTCCTATCCTTGTAAACTCCAAATATTTACCCTTTTGAACATCTATTCTATTATGTCTAGCCATAATTAAGGCCAAAATAAGAAGCGGAATTGGCTTTTGCTGACTATCAGTGGTTCGAATCTCAATCAATGCGACCAACATGAACTTATTTGACTACCTTGGTGGTTTACAATTCCTCCATCTAAATCTATGCAATGATATTCATCGAATTTATTTTATATCTTAGTGTCTCGCCACTGGTTCTCTTAATTACTTCTCAAGACTCCATTAGCAGCATATGGATTACATTGATTTCTGAAGCAATTACATGCAACTATGATCACGATCACAATAGCCTTCTTACTGCCTTTTAATGCGGTTATTTTAGACAAGGTCGTTAAGCCACGAATTGGCTATCATATACATGGGCATAAAAGCATTATGCAAAACTGAAGTGATTTGATCGGGTATAGAAAACTAGCTTTCCTATGGCTAATCGTGGAAACTTGGTTTTAGCCTATTTTTATAGGGCTGTAATAAATTAGTTTACATCATCATCATCATCAATCTATGATGTTTACTTGCAAACGAAAATATGGTGGCCTGGTTTAGTTTATATACTTGAAATCATTCCTAATTGGTAGATTTGTTAGACAGAACAAGATATGAGCTCATGCAAAAACAGCAAAAGATTTTTTAAGGCTTCATTTATTCCACAAAACAGTTTTAATAGTATGCTTTTAGAACTATTGCAGGCTTTCCTCTTTTGGCAGAGCCGTCAAAAATTTATATTTATTTAAGAGTTTCATCCAGGTTCATTAAGTGTATATTTTGTTTTCATTTGCGGCTTATTTTACCTAGAACCTTTACTGGTTTTTTATTTAATGTGTACATTCGGTGTTTATCTGGGTGAATCTAGAAAGTATGTATAAAACCTGGGTTTCGAAGAATCACTTTATAGATTTATGTTGGAATGCCTTTCATTTCATTTGAAGAAGCGAGTGGAGGGGTCTCGTAAGTTGGCTTCCTTGGAGACGGTAAGGAAATTGTCTTGGAGCTGTGATTGCAGGTTGTGCGAATAGGTCCTCGGCGCATCGCAGCAAGGTTTTCATCGGGGTCGCAAGGCGGCGCGACGAGGACATATCCGCGCATATCTGCAATCACGGCCGTTTCCGGTAAGGCCAACCTACGAATCCCTTCCATTCGCCTTTTCAAACGAAATGAAATTTCCTAAATGAATTTGGAAAGTAAAAAGACTAAGATAGTGTGGCCTTTTGTTGGTTGGCACAAGAGACAATGCCATAAGAAGTTATAGACTTGGTTTTATGGATAAAAACAGGATGGAGGCGGTGGAGACTAGACCTACTCGGCTAACAATAGACGTGGTCAATCAAGCTCGTCTATTGCTGGCCAACTAGCTCCAGTCTCCATCTCGTCTATCCTGTTTCTTTCTCTAATACCAAGTCTATGACTTCCTATGCCCTAGTCACTTGTGTGCCAACCCACAGATGCCGCGGTTCTACATTAAACCTAATCAAAACAAGTAATACCACAATATTTGTGGGCTTGCTCACAATAGACTAGGGCAGTGATTCCCAAACAGCGCCGCGGCGCCCCGGGGAACAGTGGTCTCTTTACAGGGGCGCCGCAAAATATTGTAAAAGCTTCAATTTGAGAAAATGTGCAGTGATTTACAGGCTCATCCATCACTTTAATTATTAAATTATTTTAATGTTAATAAAATTTTAAAAAATAATAAAGATACACGGGTTTTATTTATTTTTATCTTTTATTTACGAATATTCATACTTAGAGTAGGGCGCCATGGAAAAATTTTAATTAAAAAAGGGCGCCGTGACTAGGAATAGTGGGAACCACTGGACTAGGGCATAGGTCTTCGACTTGTTATTAGAAATAAAAACATATTAGACGCGGCGGAGACTAGAGCCAGTTGGCTGACAGCATACCTGTTTGATCATAGACGTGGTCCATGAAGCAGAGGCCTGACCATGAGAATTACTCGGGGGCTTTAGCCTCAAGTTATTCTCCCATAGGCAGTGTGGCAAATAACGCATCTAATAGCACGGATGGAGTGGCAGGGGTCGAGTGAAATACTTAAGCGAGAGATAGTAGACGGATCCAACGGAGCACGAGGGAGTCCTCCTATGGAAGGAAGACT